TTATGAAGAATAAATAGTTCCGGACTTCTGGAACCTGGAGAAAAATCCCTATAAAAATCCCTATAGAAATGAATAAATTTATATCGATAAAATATATAACTAAGCTTTCGTACTTTGGCTATTATTTATATATAATTAACTCATATAATTTTATTAATCATGCAAAATATGAGATATATTCTTCAGATACTGTTACCAGTATAGTATAATTTCACAAAATTCCACCATTTTTCAGATTAAATTAATCGCATTTAAACTAGAGTTATGTCAACAATACTCGTATGTGAAAATATATTTATCATTGAAATTGACTAACATATAAGCTTGTAAAATATGAAAATATAACATAATCCATCACTGTTTAAATAGAATAAAATAAAAATCAAGTCAGTTCATTAAACAGTACTTCCTAGATTAAATATCACAAGGATTCCCAATTCAAACTCCCTCAAAATGATGTCACCCTTAAATTGCCATAATTGACATCACAAATGAACAATTAATCACTAATTTTATATAATACTATTATTACAACTGCAAAATAAAACCACAATCGAACAACTAAACACTAAACGTGCAAGCATTTCCATATCTCACACTAATTTGCATCTCAACAATAGCCAACACCTAAATCTAATCACCTGGAGATTATCTCTGAGCCACGATTAATCCACGCCCTAAGAAAGCAAGAATTAGCAAGTGACATTTAAAGGCACCAAGGATTCAGCCTACAACTGTGTTACCCTAGCAAAGGACAAAACTGAACGAAAGAAAAATCGACTCGAAAATGAACAGTAGACCAAACTAATGGTAGAAGAAGCAAAGGTGAAGGCGAAGGGTATGCTTTTTGTCATGAGTCATGGCTAGATAAGGCTATCTGCCACAGCCTTGTCCCAAAAGCGAAGATATTGGATATTAGACGGATGGACCTTCGCGAGGGGCACGAGTAAGTAACCATACTCGAACAAAGTGCTCCAGCACTCGTCACTAACCACGTATCAGAGAAATCGTGGCTGACCACTTAGCAGGTGTTACGTTGAAAAATATAGCCTCGCGTTTTTCCTTCTACGACCACAGCATAATCTAATCGAGATAAGGATGATCGATTCGCTAATCCTGATCTTGACCATGGCACCACAGCCATTTGTACTCTCGTAAATATTTCACCCCTTGTTCTCTCTGAACTTAATCGTTCATGTGTGTAGACTATCGCTCATAAATGTCGACCTGGAGCTTGTTGGTAAATGGGTTTCACCCGAGGGTATAAATTATTGGCAGATTATTGGTACAGTGCTCACTGTTTTGTTATTGGCAGTGTAATATTTATTGTCATTTCCAGGATACTAATTTCGATCGTTTAAGAAGGTTTTTTTAATTATATATTATAATTATTATTTTCTATAATTATCTTCTACAATAAAGTTGGCAGACGTATTATACTTGAGATACTTTCATTTCTGTAATGTTCAAGATGAAACACAGTAATGGACTTCTTTGTTCTTCAAATATTGCGAATGTTTTTCTAAATATTATACTAAGAGCATTGATTATTGTTTCTTAACACTAGGTAGGTAGTTGTTCTTAATACAAAAATTTATTTAATAAAGTATAGAGATTCTTTTGAGTAAGTATATATACATGTTTCATGCATTTTTCAAAAATGTGCCAGACTTAGGTTCGTTGTTTCGTCGAATTCGTAATTAAAAAATTTTTTCAAAATCACCAAAATATTTACTATTAATCTAATCTGCCTGATTTTTGACCTTCTTCTATATAATAGTATAAATACATAAACTAGAAACTATACTCTTATTCATATCAAATAACAAAGGGTACCTTCAGAAAATAGAATTATGAACTATTAACAATTCACACTTTTCATTCAAATACCAAATTTAACAATTTTTTGAAAAAAGAATTAAAAGATATTCAACTTGCTTTAAACAATTTCAGAAAATAATACAACTGATTGACAATATAATAATACAATTAGCTATATTTTTAGGGAACGTTTGTAACTATATACTATCCGCTGAACTCGTTACATTTACAGTTCTCGTGGCAAAAATAAAATTCAGAAGAAAGGTCGAAATGTAAGAGAGCCGAAGAAACGAAGTTTCCCTTCGTTGACCAGCAATGAAGTCGTAAACGGATCGTAATTGTAAAAGGTGCGTTTCTACCGTCCTCTAGGGGACTATCGATTCGGTATAAAATCCGGGAGCACCGTAGAGAAAGTAGGGAAGTATAATTTACTTAAAATGTAATAACGACGAGGGGTGGATTTACGATAATTGCCTTTATTAACGATTTATAACACAGTTACTCCCCGTCCGATCAGCTCGGGCAGTGGTATAAATTATACATTATTATTACATATACATATGTTACATTTTCTTACAGACGCTTTAAATATAGTGGACGTACTCGTTGATAGTAACAGTGGACGTTGGAAAGTTCGCGTATTCACAAGGCACATGTGCATCCAAACGGGAAGCCGATTATTCACTATGGATGGACTTGGAACGCGAAATGGAAAGAAAAATTATGTACATTCGCGAATAAGTTAATTTGTTATCCGAAACTTGGGAATATTCTAGGGGACACTAAGAGACTAATTATTCCCTAGAAAGTACGATAATATTCGTATCCTCTTATTGACATTAGTATACTGATATTTCTTGTTATCGATATAATTCATTTTTGTTAATATGATAATAGAATATTATATTAATAACTCGATATATTAATATAATAATGTATTAACAATAATTGTTACGTTATATTAACGTGTATTAAAATATAATATAGTAATCGTAATTATTAATATATTAATATAATGAAAATGATTATATTAATATAACAATAATGTTTAATAGGGAATATATTAATTTATTTCGTCCCAGGGAATAATTGTAATATATCCCCTATAATTTTCTTCGGAATATATTAAATTTGACAGTAGGTTCATTTATATTTAGCATTAAAATTGAGCATTTGTCGAGGAAATGGTATACACAGAAAAATTCTTATTTTAATCGTAGCATTTTCTATGCAATTAAATTCATCACCTATACAGTACATAATTAAACGATATTATGTTTCATGTACACGTATAATAAGTACCAGTGCACGTATTGGAATAAATATTAGTATTATTCTTAGCATTAGTAATATTCAAACTCTTTTCATCTCGTTTGCAAATCTATATACAAAAATGAAAGCTTCGAATCTTTTATATAATAATTGTACATTAAAAACTTACACGTCTTTTACATATTTAATGACAATTATTTCAACGATATATTCTCTTCGGACGTGGTACTTTCCACTTTTCATTCTCGTATAATAATTACCGACGTGGCAAAATTTTCGAAAAATAAAATATTCCGCTACGAAATTATCACGACGAATTAAAATCTACAATTATGTACATAATTTTCTCTTAAACGAAGAAACGATTATACACGTTCTGGATACACCATTCCAACGCAAGATGAATACACCTTACTGTATATACACGTAACATTTACATATAAAAAGAGAACATCCTTACACGCACGATAAATAACGTAAACGATCACGTGGAGGGGTAAGAAACAATAATAAATGACAATAAGGATAACGAGTACTTTGGTAACGAGATGACACAATTTGCGCGAACGCGAAAGGGAAAAGTAGCTCGCTGATCAGAATCACCCCCGTTCAAACTTGGAATTTACATTCATCTTCCAGCTGAACGTCAATTGGTAACTTCTTAGAGACACAATTCTTCTCGCAGTTATAACTGGATACCCGAGTACCCTCTGTCACTGCGAGAACGTAAATTCGATTCCAGGGTAAATGTGTTTTATGGAAAGCAGATCATTTCATCGACCCCGTACAGATAAAACGATAGGATAATCTTCGAATCACAGAAAATATTATTTTTAAAAAATGCAAATACAAAGCAGATTTTTATCATACAGATGAAAAGCCATAGATAATCTTCGAATTATTGAAAATATTATTTTTTTAAAATTATCGTTCTTCTGATATTTCGAATTTAATATTTTAAACAAATAATAATTTCTCTTCTCTCGATATAGATAAGCATCGAATCAAAGAAAATGTTATTTTTAAAAAATTATGGTTCTGATATTTCGAATACAATAGTTTAGAGCAATAATAATTTTTCTTCTCTCGATATAGATAACCTTGGAATAAAAAATAGTATTATTTTAAAAAAATTATAGTCCTGATATTTCGAATACAATATTTTAGAGCAATAATAATTTTTCTTCTCTCGATATAGATAACCTTCGAATAAAAAATAGTATTATTTTTAAAAAATTATAGTTCTCCTGATATTTCGAATATAATATTTTAGAGCAGTAATAATTTTTCTTCTCTCGATATAGACAACCTTGGAATCAAAGAAAATGTTATTTTAAAAAAATTATGGTATCCTGATATTTCGAATACAATATTTTAGACTAATAATAATTTCTCTTCTCTCGATATTTATTTTTACCATTTAAATAAGTTAGACTGGGACTTGAAATTTTTCTCTCGTTTTCATATACTACCTTACAAAATTTTCGACACGTTTCAGAAGCTTCTTAACGTGATTTAACTTCGCAACGATGTCAAATACTCGAGTTCTTGTATTTTTACAAGAAGGATAAATTGTAAAATGAAAATGTACATTTTCAGTTTAGACGAGAATGGAAGGCACGTTATTTCACCGATTTAGGCGAAAGAAATTCGTCGACCTGCTTTCCAATTAACCTACGTGCTAAAGACGAAATAGAAGCCACGGTAAGGTAGGAAACGTCCTAGCACCGTGACACGGATAGTCGAGGGGAATTAATCTTATTGCTCGTCACGCCGGGAACAGTGCAGAAAGGAACATCCTGCAACACCGTCCAACATTCGCGAACGATGCTATGGACAATAAGAAAAACTCATGGCCAGGAAGACTATCATCTTGCTCCCCATTTGAAGTTCTCCCTCCTAAGTCGTTAATACAGCATGTGGATGGACCGCGTTGCACCTGTAAGTAAACGAATGAACAAAGGCAGGCGATGAAACCTAACCTCTACGAGCTCTGAGTTCACTACTGACGGAATTCTAGTTGGAGAAGGACTCTGAATTTCTTGCTGATGTTGTTATCAGTTGGAAAGGACTTTGAATTCTTCGATGTTAGCGATTTAGATATTGAGGAACTTTTAGGAGACTTTTATTGGTAGCACTCTAACTAGCGAAGGACTCTGAGTCCTTTGCTGATGGTTACCGATGGTACTTTGGATCCCGAGGACACTGGATATTGCTCTGACAATGTTCTAGTTAGGAAAAGATTCCAAATGCTATACTAACGTTATTTTAAATAAAAGAGGAGTTTGAATTTTGTATTGGAAGCACTCTAACTTGCGAAGGACTCTGAATCCTTTGCTGATGGTTACCGATGGTACTTTGGATCCCGAGGACTCTGGATATTGCTCTGACAATGTTCTAGTTAGGAAAAAATTCCAAGTGCTATACTAACGTTATTTTAAATAAAAGAGGAGTTTGAATTTTGTATTGGTAGCACACTAATTATCAAGGGACTCTGAGCTTTATGCTAACAGTATTCCAATCAATAAAGTATTGTGAGAATTTTATTAGTGGGACTCTAGCTCACAAGGACTCTATATCATCCTCTAACAATGTTCCAGTCAGGAAAAGATTTCAAGTGCTATACTAACGTTATTTTAAATAAAAGAAGAGTTTAAATTTTGTATTGGTAGCACACTAGTTACCAAAGGACTCAGAGTTCTGTGCTGGTAGTACTCTAATCAATAGAGGATACTGAGACTTTCGCTGATGATACCCTAGTTCCAAGGATTTTGAATTTTCTTCAGACACTGTGTCAGTCAGAAAAAGATTCTAAGTGCTATACTAAGGTTATTTTATTGTAAATAGAAAAGTACTTTCAATCCGGCGTTAGTAGCAAACTAATTGTCAGGGGACTCCGAGTTCTGTACTGACAGTGTTCTAACTGATAAAGGATTTAGAAATGTTTATTGGTGGTACTCTAGCTCACAAGTACTCCAAATCTTCCTCACACAATATTCCAGTTGCTATACTAACGTTATTTTACTATAAATAGAAAAGGATTCTGAATCCTGAGTTAGTAGCTCACTAATTACCAAGGGACTCTGAGCTCTGTGCTGGAAGTATTCTGATCAATGAAGTATTGTGAGAATTTTACTGATGGTACTCTTGCTCCCAAGGACTCTGAATCTTTTTCTCTGACAATATTCTAGTCAGGAAACGATTGCAAGTTTCAATCCTGCGTTGGTAGTACACTAATTACCAACGGACTCAGAGTTCTGCGCTGATAGTACACTAACCAATAGAGGCTACTGAGATCTTCACCGATGGTACTCTAGTTCCGAGGACTCCAAATCTTTCACTGACAATATTCCAGTTAGGAAAAGATTCCAAATGCTATACTAACGTTATTTCAAATAGGAAAGAACTTTGAATCCCTTGTTCATAGGACTCTAATTACAAAAGGGCTCTGGGACCTTCATTCATACTACCTTAGTCACTAAAAGATTCCAAATTTGCTACTATTAGTTCTCTACTAACTATCAATTTCGTTTCTTTACAACTACTAACAACAAGTTTCACTCTACCCATATGTTTACACTCTTCAGAAGATTCAGAGTCTGTCACAGAGTATATTCTAACCAACGAAGCACTCCAATTTCGCTACCGATAGCACTCTACCGAAGTATCATTGTTTACCCCATAATCCAAGGCATACCTAAACGAATCCTAGATGCAATTTCCTCCCACAAAGTCTAAATCTCTCCTTTCCCTCATAATTCCTGACACAAATGCCCGAAGGAGACTCGAGATCCATCAGAAACCATAGACCTCTCTAGGTACTCACCATGAAGGGTGGACGTGTTCTGTAAAGAGCTGGACAGCGAGACCTCGGTCCCGGGATGTTCGTCTATCACCGTCTCGGTGATATTGTTTTCCGCCTCGGAATGCGCGCGACGGTGCTCGCGTGTCATCCCGTCGTTCTTCCGCCTCTTCTCCGTCCCGACGCAGCAACGCTGCTCCCTCTGCAACGTCATCTCGTGCGAGTAAACGGATTCTCCGTTGGTGAACGAGTTGAAGCGTTGCCTCCTCCTGGAGGTGGCTTGGTGCAGCCGTCTGCCGACCACATTCGAGACGTCGTGGCTTCCACGGGAGACGTCGTTGGCCCTCTCGCGACGCTGCAGGGACTTCAGAGAGTCCTCATAGCCGCTGTGAAGAGGAACAGGGAATTGCCAGTGGGGAGAATAAAACGTACCCTTGTCTTCGTTCTATACTTTCTCCTTTCCTTCGCTTTCATCGATCGATCGTCAAGCATGGGGTTTAAGCTTTTGAGAGCAGGCAGTGGAAAGCTGATATTTACTGTAGCTAGCTGTGCATTAGTTTCACGTTGGCTCGCAGAACGTTGCAGTATTCTGCTGGTTTCCCCCGATATCGAGCCACTTTCTCTTAATTTCACGTAGACAGGTCAGTAAAGAGAAACGAATGCACGTGGTCGATGCATTGATAAGACATTATGGCGCTGAGGATTTATTTTGCACTGTCACGTGAGTCTCTCAGGAGTGCCTGTTCGCTTTTACTGACTCGTCTGTGCATGTGAATCAAATGTGTGAGTGATTTCAGTTACTTTAAGATATTATATACAGCATGATTCGGAAACACGTGTTATTATTATTTAAAACCCTTCATTGCTTAGAACACTTCTCTACGTTGGTATAATTGTACGAGTTTTGGTGCGTGGATTCAGCTATCGAAGCATTGAGATGTACTCTCCGTTGCATGAAAGAAGTCACCTGAGGAACTCGTTGGACCGAATCCCCACCAGCCCAAACATTCTAACATCATGGCAGAAGTAGAGTAAAACGTTTCCTTTATTGGTAGAACTGATCCCTTGCTATTAGCTCGGTTATAGAACACTATGTGACAAAGAAAGCGAACGAAGCAACGAGACAGAGTGAGACAGACGCGAAAAATAGATGCAAGAGCGTAGACTCGTCCCGAAGCGTAGTAGCGCTTGCAATTCATTGTAAGTTAACTCTGAGATAACATTTCTTTCGCGGATATCTTACGCCTATGTTAACGTACCACGTTACCGAACTTGGAGATAGTAGTTTTGGGAGTGCCATAGAAGAGTGGGTATTACTAACAAGAGTACAGGCAGAGCAAGTGGAATACCCCTCTTGCCCCGCATCCGAACGAGATGACTTCTTTTCAGCAATGCAGAGTACTTCTGAAACACCTTGTATATAGTCGAGTGTCACGTGATAGGAGAGATTTGGAATCTGGCTTGGAAGTGGCGAGGATTAGACAGTACGTTGCCCAGACCTAGGTTCTCGTCTTATCGTGATGTTTGTACAGAGTGAAACGATGATGCCAGGGATGTGTACGGTTGGATGTCAGGATTTGTGTAAATTAAGGCTCAGAAGTTATACGCGAAGTGAGAGAGAGATCTTGGGACGAGGTTAATTCGTGGATTAGGTATTGCGTGAGGTTAATTATTCGATTTGAACGATTCGTGGCTGATATTAACAGATTGTAATTATTATGATACATTATAGAAAGCTGAATAGACGTGACGTAGATGCTTAGAGATGCAGAGGATTATGGAAAATAATAGGCTGATTTTATTCGCTGTTAGAATTGTGATGATATTAATATTTGTATATGCTGTTAATATTTACATATGTAGAATTTGTAATACTGAAGCATAGTGTGAACGCTTTTACGTATTTTAATTTAAACAGTTTTTAATAACAGGTTAGATGTTTGACTTTTTTGAAGATATTATCAGCGTTGAAGGAATTAGAAAATTTAATTATTTGGTCTCAGATAAATTAATTCGCATTCCCTGTATAATACCTGACAAAATATTTCCATCTATCCAGAAACATAATTACTGGTAGAAAAAAGGACTACGTATTTTCATGAAAATTGAATAACGAATAATTAATATATTACGCGAATTGATGAAGTATTTAATCATTTAATTTCAATTAAATTAATTCACATTCCTTGGAAATTAGTTGACAAGTAGTTTGCATAAATCTAGAAACATAATTTCTTGTAAAAAAGCTACCTACTTTCATTCGAATTAAATAACAAACAATTCACACATTTCACAAACAGATCATTTTTTAATTACTTAATCTGCATTAAATTAATTCACATTCCCTACAAAATACCCGACAAACCATTCTCATTAATCTAAACATATAATTTCCTTTAAAAGAAGCTACCTATTTTCATAAAAAATTAAATAACAAACAATTCACACATTTCACAAACAGATAATTTTTTAATTATTTAATCTGCATTAAATTAATTCACATTGCCTACAAAATACCTGACAAACCATTTCCATTAATCTAGAAACATTTTGCTTTAAAACAAGCTACCTATTTTCACAAAAAATTAAATAACAAACAATTCACATATTTCACAAACAGATCATTTTTTAATTATTTAATCTCCACTAAATTAATTCACATTATCTACAAAATACCTGACAAACCATTTCCCTAAATCCGAAAACGTAATTTCCTTTAAAAGAAGCCACCTATTTTCATCAAAAATTAAATAACAAACAATTCACACATCTCACAAACAGATCATTTTTTAATTATTTAATCTGCATTAAATTAATTCACATTCCCTACAAAATACCCGACAAACCATTCTCATTAATCTAAAAATATAATTTCCTTTAAAAGAAGCTACCTATTTTCATAAAAAATTAAATAACAAACAATTCACACATTTCACAAACAGATCATTTTTTAATTATTTAATCTACATTAAATTAATTCACATTGCCTACAAAATACCTGACAAACCATTTCCATTAATCTAAAAACGTAATTCCCTTTAAAAGAAGCTACCTATCTTCTTCAAAAATTAAATACCAAACAATTCACAAATTTCACAAAGAGATAATCCATTTAATATTTTAATCTGCATTAAATTAATTCTCATTCCTGCAAAATACCTGACAAAGCATTTCCATCGATCCGAAAGCAAACAATCCCTCAAAGAACTTCGTAAAGTACAGAAATTTCGAGTGACTGACATTACAGAATAGCCAAAACGCGGAGACCTGACCGGAAGAAACAACTTGCCAAGCATCTCCAGCAACCCTCTCCGTCACCGGCATCCTCGTTAGGCATTCCGCGGAGCACCCTTGCGGACAGCACCCATGATCCCCGCCCAATACTTATCCCAAATAGTCGGGTATCAGCGTGGAACGGCCGAACAGATCGATCGCTCCGAACTCTCTTTTCAATTTAGATAGCACGAATAGCTCCGTAAGTAATTCGACTTACTTGCTGCTCTCGCCGCTGGAGGGGCTGGACGAGTGATTGCAGTGGCAGGAGGCGCGCGCCACGATCCCAGAATCCTGACCGCTGGAATGCAAGGACGTCGCGGATGCCTCGAGGCCTTTCGGGGTCCCTGTCGTCCTCCCGGCGTGCTTACTATAACCGCCCATCCTGCAAACCACCCCCTGCCTCTCTAGCATCGACATCGCGAAAGATATGGGAATTCCCTGATACAGTATTCGCTATATTGCCAGCCGACCTTGGCTAACAGGCTGGAATGCTTTCATAATAAATGCATGCCTTTTCCCGTCGCGGTTTTATTTAATTCCACGGCTGCCACGGCCGCGTTGTTTGCGCTCGCTGAAATTTCTCAGCCACGCGGAATCGCTTCGTGACGCGAGGTCAAGGGTCAGGCGTGTGGTCCGCGTTGTCGTTAATGGATCGAAAAAGGTATGCTAGGGTATAGGGTTTGGTTTATCGTTTGGGGTCACTGGTACTTGTCATTGGGTAGCTTGGTAGATGTCAATGATGGAGTCGGTTGTGGCGCTGATTGCAGCATGAGGGAGATCGCGTGTGATGATAGAGGTATGTTGAGGTTAGGTTCGATTGCTGGGTATTGAATTTCCAGATTGATTTATGGAATGAATTTTGGCAATATTTCCAAGTTTGTTCCTGTCGTTGAAGTTATTATAATGGTGATTTTCGATAATTATTGGAGGATTAATGATTGATTGTAAAGGTATGTTGAGGTTAGGTTTGGCGGGTGAGTATTGAAATTCGAGGTTGTTTGGTGGAATGAATTTTGGCAATATTTCGAAGTTTGTTCTTGTTTTTGAAGTTTTTATAATGGTGATATTCTTTAATTATTTAAGGACATGGAGGATGAGAAAGATTATGTATGATTGTAGACGTATGTTCAGGTTAGGTTCGATTTCTGGGTACTGAATTTCCAGATTGATTTATGGAATGAATTTTGGCAATATTTGGAGGTTTGTTCCTGTTGTTGAAGTTTCGATAATGGTGATTTTCTTTAATTATTGAATGATGTGTGAGATTATGTATGATTGTAGACGTATGTTGAGGTTAGGTTCGATTCCTGGGTACTGAATTTCCAGATTGATTTATGGAATGAATTTTGGCAATATTTGGAAGTTTGTTCCTGTTGTTGAAGTTTCGATAATGGTAATTTTCGTTAATTATTGAAGGATTAATGATTGATTGTAAAGATATGTTGAGGTTAGGTTTGGTGGGTGAGTATTGAAATTCGAGGTTCTTTGGTGGAATGAATTTTGGCAATATTTCGAAGTTTGTTCTTGTTTTTGAAGTTTTTATAATGGTGATATTCTTTAATTATTTAAGCACATGGAGGATGAGAAAGATTATGTGTGATGATAGAGGAATATTGAGGTTAGGTATGGTTGGTCGTTATTGAATTCTTTAGATTATGATGTAAAATGATCGGGAATATTTTGGAACCCACTGCTGTTATTAAAATTTTGATAGTGATGAAATTAATTAATGAAAGAGACTGTTACTTAGAAGTTGAAAGGATCAAATCCATTTCCTAAAGATTAGTTTTTGACAAAATTAGTCTAATTGGATTCTGTGTATGGTTTATGTCCATATGCAGTGAAATTGAAATTATGTTAAAAAATTTGTTTCATATAAATGTTACATATTATGGGAGAATGATTGTAATTTTGGAAAATACGTTTTAACGTTGAAGTCTGTTTTTAGAATAACCTACGTTTGGGATTATAGATTTTACCTTTTATACAAAATATTATATTGAGCTTAATATCGTTATCAATTGACTACTAGATATATGGCAGCGATTATAATATCTATAATGCTCTAATTGCAAACATTGTGTATTTAACCATTTGAGCGCCATATTTATGACATGCAATAAAATACGAAAAAAATATAAATGGAATGTAAAGAATTAAATGAATTTAATTATGATGACTACGACATCCTCTGTCACGTGGTATCAATGAGTAAAAATTATGTATAAGCTTGTATTTATAGGCACCCTGTAGTTAGCAGAGCAGGTCTGACTATAAACGGACAATACTACTTACTGCGACTCTACTGTCGCGTGAAGCCAATATCGCAACTACTTTTCGAAACAATAAAATGATTTTCTGTGCCAAATTTCACATTTATTCTTTCCAACGTCGCTTTTATTGCTCTTATTTCGAATTTGATACCTACTTTAAAGATTAAAGAGACACACAGCACATGAAAATTGCTGGAATTCTATTTCTCCTTTTACCCAAAATTCTGGAAACAATTTTTTAAATAAGCCTTGCAAAATTTCGTATAATTTGTATTTAATTCCGAAAACTAAACAAGCATAAATTTTTCACTGTGAATATTTTATTCGTATTAATTAATAGAAGAATTACTAAAAACACTGTCCTCTGTAAAATTGTATTTTTCATGGGTTTTGAGTAACTTTATATACAAGCTGTATTTGATTGCCATTCAAAAAATTATCGAACAATTCAAATAAAAAAATTACAAAAATAATGACAAATTTTCAATATCCTGCCATATTTAACTCATCCCCAAAATTAAATTTACTTCCATCACTATCACTATCATTCACGAGCAGTGATTTTTATCTCGCGTGTAGCAAAAATTTCTAAATACAGTATCAGGATTTTCAAAATATATAATATTTAACTATTTAATAGAATTGACTAGAAATTTTCCTTCTCTTAGTCCATTAAATAAAAAGATAAAGAAAGAATAAATGATTACCACTGTCACTCTCTAATTTTTCATTTCATAAATCCAAAAATATATTCACCCCATTTTTATAAAAATATATAAAACATATTTTCCTTTAAGCACAACAAATAAATTAACACCATGAGAATTTTTAAAAGGTGCAACAAATAATTGCTTAATCAAATGTCACCCTCTCCTCACTTTCAGACTAACACTAAAACAGATACACAGAGGGTGAATAGTTATTACCATCGTTCCCCTATCTCCCCATAAATCGATCGAAATTACTGCCCCCCTCGTCACATCCAAACGCCATAATTCATTCCTCACAGTGAGTCACAGAATTCCAATTAGCTGACACGTACCGTCAGCACAGGATTGAAAATCACTGCTGGAGACGGTCTCACAGCTGTTTTTCTCCCCATCCAGCCGAATCGTATACCAGCCTATACCACGCAACAAGGATGCATTAGCATAAATTCGAAATTAAAAGCTCGCCGGCGTGAAACGTGGCGCTGCGTTGGCAGCATTGACACAGAACCGCAAGGTCTAGACAGGTCGTCCAGAAACGCGGGGCGATTCTGCTCGGCCGCGCTCAAATGATTTAATACGCTTGACAATGAAGCATCGCGGGACACACCCCCTCTGCCCCGGCTCTCGCTACTAGAAACAGTAACGTCAATTAATGGACTTACGCGTGGAAGCGGGCACAGTTGGCTCCGTGCTCGCAGATGCTCTGTCGCCTCGGCATGTCGGTGCAGAACGGCTCGGGGTCGTAGTGAAGGCCGTCGACGAAGGTCGGGAACAGCGACGGCTTCTGCAGCGTCGCGGCTGGATCTGCCAGAGCGAATCCAATCGGGCTGGTGGTCGAGAACATCGCTTTCTCCCGACGTCTGCGACTAAACGGTGAAATTCGGGTAACTACGTTTTAGAATAGCACTGGGAGTTAGTTCGGATGGTACACGATGGGGGAATGCTGGCTGGTGAATCGATGGACGCTTTTTGTTGGCGATTTGCTTCGAGAATTTTGTTTTCTCGTTGAGAGAGAAAGAGAGAGGGGGAGGAGAGACTTGTTTGGTCTGGTTTGGATAGGGGCAGACAATTATTTATTTATTTACTTATTTATTCATTTATTTATTTATTTATCTATCTATTTATCTACCTATTTATTTATTTACTTGCTTATTTATCTATTTAATTACTATTTTATTTGTTTATTTATTTACTCATTTGTTTGTTTGTTTGTTTGTTTATTTATACGGGATTTACCCATTAGAAAAATTACTAGAAGATTATTACAATGAAGTATAGAAGTTAATGGTAACAAAGAAAGATACAAATAAAAATAAAAATATACAAATATGCAAACAGACGAGATGTATATAGGTATAAGAAAAAGAACATTTTTTACAGAGAGGTGCAAGAATTTTTTACACAGGTAGTAGCTGTTTTATAGAGTGAAGAGATTGGCTAAATAGATCTAGGGTAGGGTAAGGGTTGTTAGCAATAATAATCATTCTATTAATACCTGAGTGGTATGCAAAAGTAAGTTATGTTCTTTTCTTCCCTACTTCTCATATTTTGGGGGAGGGAGGGGATGGGTTTGGTTAAGTTTTTTGAAATTATGATAAGGGAATTAATTATTTTTATTTCTATCGTCTGCTTTGGTTTGAAATTTCGATTAAGATAGACTATTATATTTTTTCTTTCTTTTTCTTTGGTGAAGTTTGCTTATTATTTCTTTGAGATCAGAAGAGGGAGGATGAAAGAATTGGTTCAGTTAAACGAATTTTGGTTTGAGTTGAATTCAAGAATTCGATTGGAGCAAACGATTATGTTCTTTCCTCCTTTCTTTCTCTTTCTTTCTGAGGTTTGATCAAGTTATTTGAGGAGAGTAGAAAAGGAATGGATGGATTGGTTCAGTTAAAGTAATTAATTACTTTTGTTCCTTTGGTTTGCTTTGGTTTCAGGCTTAGATTGGAGTACACTTTAATATTTCTTTCTTTTCTTTTGTGAGATTTGGTTAAGTTTTTTGAGGTCAGAAGATGAAGAATGGAAAGATTGGTTCAATTAAAGGAGCTAATTATTTTTATTTCATTGGTATGGTTTTGAGACGAGATTTAAGTATGAAGATACTACAATTATCAGAGATTGGACAATGTATGAAATTTAAAATTAGGTGTTCCATACCGTTTATTCCTACGAACACACGTAACACAGAGGGCAGTGACAAGGGCACCCACGAATATGACACAGCCGAGCACCACCACACCTACTTCCAGAGTGGATAGCAGGTAACGTTGATTACCCCGACGAGGAGAGCTTCCGGCAATGTCTAGGACATCGTACTCGTCCAACTCACGCTTGATCTCCGTTTTCTTCGCATTGAACACGCTGAAAGAACATGTTTCATTATCGTTTGCAATTAATTAATAACGAAACCAATACTCCAATTTCCATGAAATAATAATTCCCAAAATTTCCATAATAATAATTTGAACAACTTCCATTATTATTTTCAAATTATTATCGTATTACTGCAATGACTTAATCATCAGAGTTAGCAAATAAAATAGTTTGTCGATGATTGGAATGATTGACTTACCTGTGCAGCGTATCCATGTCTATCATAACATTCAAGTGAGGGTCGATGGCATAAAGGTAAACATCAGTACTATAAATAAAAGACATAGAGTAACATACTGAATGAATTTTATGGCAATTGAATAATAAAATTGTATAGTGTCTCAAGCACTTACGACATGGTGTCAATGAGATTTTTCTCAATGTGTGGTTCCAGCTTCCACACTCGAACATCAAACCCAGTTACGTTGTGTAGTACCCTAAATTCAAGACACTTGTCACCTCTCAATAATTATTTACAGAAATGAATTTCGTCCACAATCTACTCATTTCTGTACACTTTTCCCATTACGATTTAAACAAATTTAATTCTCAATCACTGAAGCATCGGTCATTTGACATTTACTTTCATTAGGATTTTTAATTAATTTTTTTTCCTTTTTCGGAATAAATAATTTTTTAATTAGGATTATCCCTTGAAATATTAGGTTGTCCCATAAGTTCTTTCCGCGTCACGCTATGTATGTCCTCGAGCCGGCTATGTTTGTAAACATGCAGGATTATCAATTCTCCGTTTATGGCATCGTTCCATGGCATCATACCATAATATACATAATTATACCATATAGGCATAAATTAACATTAAACAGCAAATATCGTCTATTGATTTCGCATTAAAAAGAAAAGGAAGAAACTTTTGGGACACCCTAATATTAATTTTGAACAATGTCCAAAGTAACTGAACAACAAAGCAACAACTCGCGTACAACCAGCACCCCATACTCACGCAGTGATGTTCTCCAGTTGAGGCTCAATGTCCATAGGTCTCCTACCGACCACCATCAGGACCTGTCTCTGATCATCCAGCACGTAGACCTTGAAGCAAACGAGACAATCGGATAACCACGAGACCCTGACCACCTTGTCTGCAGTCTGAGACCCAGGATTCGTCGCTTCCCCGCGGGGAAATTAGCTTTTGCTGTTCCTCGAACTCTCAACAATAGGTAATTAACCCCTTGGCCTACGCGCTATCTCCTGATTGCGCGGGTCACAGTAAACAAGAAGGTTGCGCACCGAGCCATTCAACTGTTCAACCGTGTGCTCAAACTTGCGCGAAATATACTACATACTTCTTATGACATGTATATTTCGGCGCAACAAAGTACCACGATTTCGATTCCTGCGTACTGTTAATGGCGCCAATTTCTCACCACGAGCCAGACTCGTGGTGTTCGTTCATGGCACAAATTCCTTACCACGAGCTAGACTCGTGGTTTTCGCTTAAGGCACAAATTACTTACCACGAGTTAGACTCGTGGTTTTCGCTTAAGGCACAAATTACTTACCACGAGTTAGACTCGTGGTTTTCGCTTATGGCACAAATTACATACCACGAGTTAGACTCGTGGTTTTCGCTTATGGCACAAATTACTTACCACGAGTTAGACTCGTGGTTTTCGCTTATGGCACAAATTACTTACCACGAGTTAGACTCGTGGTGGTAGACCAAAGGGTTAAGATCGTCGGTAGGAAGACGACGTGCGCGGAGAGACTGGGCGATAGGACAAAGGGAAAGACAGAGCATGAAAACTTACAAAGACGTTGGCGATACTGCTGCGACCGTCCTCGGCGCCCTTTCTGTCGGTGGCCTTGACGTCGAAGCCGAAAACGCGTCCAGCATCACGGCCAAAACATGCCACGGATCGTACTTGACCGCTCAGTGGGTCAATGGCGAATCGCGGAGCGTCCTCCTGACCGAGGATCTGATACCGGATCTCGGCGTTTGCTCCCTCGTCCGGGTCTTCTGCCTGGCAGAGTGATTAATCGGTTTATTCCACGCTTGCTTCTGCGGTTCCACGGAAAAACGCGACAGGTAGCCTTCTCAGAAAATTTCGGTTTACTTATTCATTGGATTTTATTTGGTTTATTTTGTACTTCGAAATTTGATAGTCGATGGGATTTATTTTATTCTAATAATCTGAACAATTGTGATACTCTGGTTCCGAGAAGACGAATTTTGGTTAATGTGACAATCGACGTGCTATAAAAGTATATTTTCAATATTTTTAGTATATTGATTGTGATATCTATAGTAACTATATATGTATATTAGGTAAGTATTCTGCGGTTACACGAGAAAATGTGTCAAGTCGAGATTTCAGAAAATTTTATTTTACTTATTAATTGCATTTAATTTAATTTAATTTGTACTTCGAAATTTGTTAGTCGATGGTATTTATTTTGTTCTAATAATCTAAACAATTGTGATATTCTAGTCACGAGAAGACGAATTTTGGTCAACGTGGCAGTCAACATGGTATGAAAGTATTGTATATTTTGAGTATTTTCAATACACTGCTTGTAATATTTGTAGTAAATATATGCATTATTGTAACTATATTTATTATTTAAGTAATTATACTTGTATATTATTTAGGTATTCTGCGGTTACACGAAAAAATGTAGCAACTCGTGATCTCAGAAAATTTTAGTTTACTTATTAATTGGATTTTATGTAATTATGTAATTCCCTATGTGCGTCGAAATTTGTTAGTCGATGGTATTTATGTTATTCTATATAATAATCTGAACAATTACGACACTTTGTTCCCGAGAAAAAGAATTTTAGTTAATGTGACAGTCGACGTGTTATGCAAATATATATTGAGTATTTCTAGTATATTGATTATGATATCTATAGTAACTATATATGTATATTAAATATTTAAGTATTCTGTGGTTGCACGAGAAAATGTGGCGAGTCGCGATTTCAGAAAATTTTAGTTTAATTATTAATTGGATTTTATATACTTTCATATGTGTTTCAAAATTTGTTAGTCGGTGGTATTTATTTTATTTTAATAATCTGAAAAATTGTAACACTCTGTTATCGAGAATACGAATTTTGATTAATGTGACAGTCGACGTATAATAAAAGTATATTTTGAGTATTTTCAGTACTATAATCACTATAACAGCATAATCCAAAATTCACTGATATAATTCTGTAAATATAATTCTCCATAATAAACTTATACAAAGAATTGAAATTTCAAAAAGAATTTGCAACGCGATATAAAATTTAAGGAAGTACCTTCGAAAGTACTATAATGGATATATCATAGAAAAATGAATAAAAAGTTCTGACAACCTGTAAATTTCCCGTTGTTTCGTGATAATGAATACCAAGTGCTCCTTTATGTTCTTCGATATTTTAAAATGTCTGGAGTCCAGAGACATTTCGAATAAGATTTATTAAAACAATGAGAGAAATATCAAGTCTGACGCAACATAGAAGAACGGGCGATATTAATCGAAATCATTTGAATTTCATATCGTGGTTGCTCTGAAAGTAAAATGTAAATCTATTTGGATCAATGCGCCATTCGTTAAGGCGTCCCTAGATTACTATGAATTGCGCGCCATTTTCAATGGAATTTATGCGAACCTCTGGCTCTTAAGCGAATTTTAATGTTAAAATATTTAAGCTCGGTACGTATGTAACAATTCCGTAATATTCAATTTTCTCTCTACCGACAGCAAAAATTAATTCAAGATACCAGAGAGAAAGGATATTGTAATTTACTACAGAAGAAAATTCTTTTCCGTACACCCTGTTGAGCCCCGAGCATATCAATTTGTTCAATTTGTTTCATCTGCAATAAATTGCAAATTTACATGAAACAACGTTGTTCCTCGGAAGACTTTCAGGTAAGAGTAATTATGCAATCCGATTAAAAAATAAATAACAATTTAACAAAATAGTTGAACTCAAAAGTTCATTATAATTCAATTCTATGTTAAACTTATTAACTTTGTTTTATTATTTACCATTTTATTTATTTATATATTAATACATTGTTTCTCAGTAATTATTATTTAGCAGCTTTGTAATTAATTCTGTTCCATATAAAATACTTGATAAGTTATAAATGTACATGTTAAAGAAAAATTCCTATACTTCATCTAGTAATCCCTAGGATTCGCGAAGACACTATCAGACAACACCTTGATTAACCTTCATATTTTCTACAGATTTATTTATCACTTACACTACATTTATTTATATAAATTAATTCTATGTTAAATTTATTAACTTTGTTTTATTATTTAGCATTTCATTTATTTATATATTATTACATTGTTTTTCAGTAATTAATATTTAGCAGCTTTGCAATTAATTCTGGTCCATATAAAATACTTGATAAGTTATAAATATGCATGTTAGAGAAAAATTCCTATACTTCATCTAGTAATCCCTAGGATTCGCGAAGCACTATCAGACGACACCTTGATTAACCTTTATATCTCCTACAAATTTATTTATCGCTTACACCACATTTATTTATCTAAATTACTCCAAAGAACAAAAATCCTAAACAAATAATAACACCTAGTCACCCCCAAAACCGCAATTTCAAAAATCCCTAGAATCTCTCACTATTTCCCTAAGAGACTAAAAGAGAGATAACCTTGGTAAACAATTAATTGAAAATCCAGCAACTACTCCGAAGCAAACAAAACAGTACTCTACTCCAGCCTGATTCCCTACAGCCACCTCATCAACCTCTTCAACAAATCCACGTGTTCATTCTAGTGACTCAGAGCCAACAAACCAGAGCCAACCCTTTAGCCACCCTTCCCACTCGACTCTCCATCTGATCCTCGATCCTCATCCATCGTGTCTCACAAAGACGTCCCATGATGCACGCGCGGAGCACCTTGAAAACGCGATAGAATTGACCGGGAAGGCCACACGGAGCGGCAGAAGAAGAACAAAAGGGATGAAAGGGTAAGAAAGCCTCGGCTTCCGCAGCATGGACGATAAGTGGAGAAGGTGAAACGCGAGAGAGTGGCCAAGACACAAGGAACGAAATGAATCGAAAGCCAGAGGAGACAACACGCGTGCACACCTACCTCCACTTTGACGACCTCATAGCCGTAATGGGCAGTAGTGGGTATCGCAGCGAGGATGGGCCGACCCTTTGACTTGAATCTGGGCGCATTGTCGTTGACATCCTTCACCTTGACAACGACCCTGGCCTCATTAGGCGCCAGACCATTCAGCCTTTCACCGACAACAGGGTAAATCATCACGGGCATTCTGCGACCAATCCTTTCCCCTTCGACTCTGACCTTGGCCTCGTATCGATCGTTCACCTCTCTGTCCACGTCCGTCATCAGATACAACTCGCCCTTCGTCGGGTCTATCATGAAGGGGTCCGGAGCCTTCGTGCCATCAGCCACGATGCTGTACCTTACATAATCGCTCTGTTGACCATCAGCCAGGTCCAACTGAGCGACCAAGACTGGCACTCGAACGTTCTCCTCGACTTCCACTTCGTAATAGGGGTGTCTGAACGCGGGAGTCTTCTGCACCTCGTTCTTCACCTCGTCATCATCGTCCACGTTCAGCACCGTGACGATCACCACTGCTGTAGATGTCAGACGAACTGGAGAACCCAAGTCGCTAGCTGTGACCAGTAACCGATGACTCCTCCTGGTCTCGTAATCCAGATTACCAGTCGTCTTGATGACACCCTTTAGACTGTCAATATCGAAGTACTGCTTCTGGAGCTCTCCCTGATGACTCATGTCGAAGAGGATCAGTCCATTCCCGTTCCCAACGAAGTCAGTATCATTCGCCTGCACCTTGATCACTTCGGTACCTACTGGGCTGTTCTCGAAGATCGAGGCATGGTACACCGGCACGAGGTCTCCGTTCTTGTCCTTCTCGACTTCGTCGTAGTCATAAAACACAGGTGCATTGTCGTTGACGTCCAACACGTTCACTTCTACCTCCACGGTAGAGTTCAGACGCGGGTTACCATTGTCACGAGCCATCACTACCAGATGATGAGTACCTATGCTCTCCCTATCTAGAACTCCACTGACCCTGATTATCCCTTCGTAAGGAGCAACCTCGAAGGTCCTCGATGCATTTCCAGGATCCTCGAGGTTCTCGTTCCCAGAGACAGACTCGTAGCTCACGTTTGCGTTCACACCGAAGTCAGGGTCGACAGCTCGAACTGTACCCAACGTGTAGCCAGCGTAAGTACCTTCTGGAACGTCGAACGTGTACCAGGACTTGTCGAAGATCGGTGGGTGATCGTTCACGTCTACCACGTGGATTCTGATGGTGATATTGTCTGACAGGCCTCCGGAATCCTTGGCTAGGACGAGCAAGCGAATATTTCTCTCGGCTGGCAGCCCTCTGGCCACAGATATCTCTGCTGACCTTGGGTCCAGGTGGAAGAATCTTCGACTGGTGGTGTCGAATCGTCGGGCCTTAGTGTCGTCGCCGGAAGCAGTCTCGTTCGCTAGACTGTACGTTATCGCAGCGTTCGCTCCCTCGTCCTTGTCCTCGGCGAGCAGACGTATTATCGGCGCGCCGATCGTCACGTTTTCCGGCACGAGAAGAAGAGGCGAACGACGGCTGCTGGGTGGCTGACTTCCGGCAGCTGCTTCGCCCATATCAAGCACCTCGTTCCCTTCGAACGATGCCTCCGTATCGGGCTCGTTCGACACGCGAACGCCCTGATCCGGTAGCACTATCATTCGGATGAAACTGGGAGCGTTGTCGTTCACGTCGGTTACTATTATTCTCAGGCCTGCTTCCGCAGTTAGACCACCTGGAAAAACGTGAATACAAAGAGAATAGAGTTTCGTATTCTTTACAGGTCATTCGATTTTCATGAATTTTAATGATCAGATGGACCATCATGACACCAAGTGCAAGTGTGAACTCTGAGAATACTCATATATTGAATTCTTCGTTTATTTGTGACTGAATATAGGTTTGATATATGAAAAGAAGGATTGGAGAAATTTGAATTAAGTATTAAAATGAAACTTGCTTATTTGCAGGTAGATAAAGAATTTTTGGGAAACTTTGGTACCCAATTGACAGTCTAGAAGAATTAGGGTGTTCATTTAAAATTCTTAAAATACTGTTCTCTTATGTAATACAATATTTAAACTAATGTTTTAACTAATTAAGAGTTACTCTTAAAATAATTGTTTGTTTTGTTTGAATTGGGTGTCTCTAGTTTAGGTAGGTTTGCAATTACCATGTCGATATTTTATATAAAATTGTTATTGAACAATATTGTTATTCCATAGAAATGTTATTAAATGTTGAACACTGATGAAGCCTAAGTTAATTTCATTTATCTATGGCAAGGCAGTTGAATGATGTTAGTTTTTAATGTTTACTACAGATAAGCATTGTCCTGACTCTTTAAGAGCTAATCAATTAGGGTCTGCTATTAAAATGTGACACACTATTGAACACCTTCTGAAACAAATACTGTCGTGTCATTAAAAGTGAAGTTTTCATTTAAAATAAATCACCATGTGGGAATTCTCCTCCATGGTTGATGGTGGCTGTGCTACTGCTATAGGGTAGCACTGGAAGCAGTGAAAAATGGAAGGGGTGCATTTCATCCTGAGCCAGTTAGTGGATTATTTAATATAATTAAGGGTACCTAGCAGACCGGGAATACTATGGGAATGTTTGGAAACTCTATATACAGGACATGGAGGATTTATCAAGAATTTGCGAGAAATCCTCGAACCTCCTTAAATTTGAAATCCATCTAGTGGCGAGGGTGAGAATGATGTCGTCATAATCCTATATATTACTACTGTAATATTACATTCCAAAGAATCATGTTGACTTTGAAACACTACCTCAACAAATTTGTAAATAAGAAAATTGTAGAATTCACAGCTGTCATTTTTCATCATTCATCATCATCATTCATCATTTCATCATTCTAACTCAAACAGCTGTCATAATTCCCTGTAATTCAATATTTTATGTTTGAATTGATAATTTTACAAATTCATTGCAATAGGAACACAATGTCCAACTTGACTATTCTGTCTGAGTACTGATATTATAGCCTCATTTGTGTTCACATTAAAAGTATGTTTAGAAGTTTCATATGTGTCCCTCCAAGGTAACTCAAGTTCTGATTTCAGTTTTCAGAAAGAAAAGAAAACTTACCGCTGTCTTTAGCAACGATCGTGAAACTATAGTTTGCCTTCGCTTCCCTGTCCAGTGTGCGGTCATCGATTCCATCAAAGTACAGTAAACCTGTCGTTGGATGGATTCTAAATAGCTCGCTTCCCTCCCCGTGAATACTGAAGACGAAGTTCTGATGGATGCCCTCGTCTTTGTCACTGGCGGCGATGGGAATCGATAAGTTCACTTTCGTTCCGGCTGGACTGTTCTCCTGGATTTGACCCTCGTACAATGGCATAGTGAATTCTGGTGCTTGGTCATTTTCGTCAAGAACTATCACGCTCACCTGAAATAGATGAGAAGTTTTAGAAATTTTCCAAAGGGGATTTATAAAGGAAAAAATAATAAATTTCTTAAATTTTCTTAATTTCTTAACTTCCCTAATTTTATTAATTTCATTAATATTCTTAACTTTTTTAATTTTCTTAATTTCTTAAAATTGCAAATGAAAAATTGAATATTAACCTTTTGCACTTGAACGATGACTCTCATTCGCCATTTGTTTTAATGCCATAACCTAAATAACGGCTAAGAACCGATAACTATATTAGAAATAACTCTACATGAAATATTGAATAAAATATTCCTATTTATTCGTTTCACACGCAACATATGTTTCCATTTTTCTATTTTAGCATTAAAAGTATCAGAGA